TGGGAGAACTGGCAAGCCACACATAGAAGAAGGAAACTGTATCCTCATTTCTCACCTTACACAAAAATGAACTCAAGATGGATCCAAGAGTTAAATCTAACACCTGAACCCATAAAAATTCTAGAAGATAACATTGAAAAAACCCTTCTAGACACTAGCTTGGGCAACAACTTCATGACCAAGAACCCCAAAGCAAATGCAACAAAAACAAAGATAAATTAAGATGGGACTTAATTATTAACTAAAAAGCTTCTGCACGGCAAAAGAAACAATCAGCAGAGAAAACAGACAACTCACAGAGTGAGAGAAAATCTCCACAATCCATGCATCCAACAAAGATTCTGTAGATCCAGAATCTACAAGGAACTCAAAGCAGCAAGAAAAAAACAAATAATCCCATAAAAAAAAAGTGGGCTAAGGACATGAATAGACAATTTTCAAAAGAAGAAATACAAATGACCAACAAACGCATGAAAAAATACTCAGTATCACTAAAAATAAGAGAAATGCAAATCAAAACCACAATGTGATGCCACCTTACTCCTGCAAGAACGGCTGTAATCAAAAAATGAAAAAATAATAGACGTTGGCATGGATGTGGTGAAAAGGGAACACTTACACTGCTGGTGGGAATGTAAACTAGTACAACCACTAAGGACACCAGCGTGGAGATTCCTTAAAGAACTAAAAGTAGAACTACCATTTGATCAAGTAATCCCACTACTGGCTGTCTACCCAGAGAAAAAGAAGTCATTATACGAAACAGATACTTGCACACGCATGTTTATAGCAGCACAATTTGCAACTACAAAACTATGGAAACAGCCCATCAATCAACAAGTGGATAAAGAAATTGTGGTATGTGTATATACACCATGGAATACTATTCAGTCATAAGAAGGAATGGAATAATGGCATTCGTAGCAACCTGGATGGAATGAGAGACCATTATTCTAAGTGAAGTAACTCAGGAATGAAAACCATAACATTGCATGTTCTCACTCATAAGTGGGAGCTAAGCAATGAGGAGGACGCAACGGCATAAGAATATACAATGGACTTTGTGGACTGGGGGAAAGGGTGGGGGATGGAGAGGGATGAAAGACTATACTTTGGGCACAGTATACACTGCTCCAGTGATGAGTGCACCAAAATCTCAGAAATCACCACTAAAGAACTTATCCATGTAACCAACCACCACCTATTCCCCAAAAACCGATTGAAATAAAAAAAATACAAAAAAAAAAGAAAATGTGGTATGTACATACAATGGAATTTCATTTTGCCTTAAAAAAGTCAAGGAAAAAATGTCACAGGTTACAATACAGATCATTATGTTAAACAAAAGCAGCCAATCTCAAAAAGACAAATACTATATGGTGCTACCTGTATGACGTATCTAGCAAACTCAGAAACAAATAAAAGGGTTGTTGCCAGAGGACGGGCTTGGAGGAGAGTGGGGTGTTGGGAACTTGCAGGGGGGTGGGAGAGGGTGGGTGCTGTTTAATGGGTATACAGTTTTGGTTTTGCAGTGAGCACAGATCACGCCACTGCACTTCAGCCTGGGCAACAGGGTGAGACTGTCTCAAAAAATAATAAATAAAAAGTCAAAATAATAATATACACCTGCTGGCCAATGGGTCCTACTAATGCAATATGAGATAATTACAAAAAAGTAGTTACAAAACATTTGATACAGGAAAGCAGCTATAAATCATGATTTAAGGTGCAAAAAAAAAATTTTTTTTTGAGATGGTGTCTCAGTCAGCCAGACTGGAGTGCAGTGGCTTACTGCAACCTATGCCTCCCACGTTCAAAGGATTCTCTTGCCTCAGCCTCCCAAGCAGCTGAGATTAAAGGTGTGCGCCACCACGCCTGGCTAATTTTTGTATTTTTAGTAGAGATGGGGTTTCACCACGTTGGCCAGGCTGGTCTCGAACTTCTGATCTCTCAAGTGATCCACCTGCCTCGGCCTCCCCAAAGTGCTGGTATTACAGGCATGAGCCACTGCACCTGGCCATAAGGTGCGATTAGATTTAAAATTACTTGTGTCTAGGTAAAAGAAGGGTGAAGGCAAAAAAGGATGTTATGAATCCCTCATATTATTTTAACAAGAACAATGATCAACAAGGGAAATAAAAATGTTTGAGGAGATGGATATCCCATTTATCCTAACTTGATCATTTTATATCTATACAAGTATCAAAGCATGCACCGTAAAATAAGTACAACTACTATATATCAACTTTTTTAAATTTTAAAAGAAAAAAAACATCCCAGCACTTTGGGAGGCCGAGACGGGCGGATCACGAGGTCAGGAGATCGAGACCATCCTGGCTGACACGGTGAAACCCCGTCTCTACTAAAAAATACAAAAACTTAGCCGGGCGAGGTGGCGGGCGCCTGTAGTCCCAGCTACTCGGGAGGCTGAGGCAGGAGAATGGCGTAAACCCAGGAGGTGGAGCTTGCAGTGAGCTGAGATCCGGCCACTGCACTCCAGCCTGGGCGACAGAGCGAGACTCCGTCTCAAAAAAGAAAAAAAAAGAAAAAAGAAAAAAAACACTGTTGAGGGTAGGTAGGGAGGTGGTAGAGGTAACTGTATATAATCCCACTAAGCATTCTGGCATTTTCAGAGAAAATAAATATGACATACTACACAGCACAGGTTCAACCCAGAACGTTATCGCATTTCTGAGGGTCATGGGAAAACCACACCATTTTTGAACCAATACCTATAAATTTACTAGCACATCTGGCCAAATATATAGAAATGGCTTCATTGTCCTTAGCTAGACTGTCAGCAAGTTTGCTGTAATCTTGGTCTACTTCATCTCTCACACACACTAACATACATACATATATACATACACACACATGCATACACACTTAAACTTCTGTGATGATATTAAAATGATTTCAGAGATTTTCAACAAAACTGACAAACATGTTTGGGATGATCTAATTTACAATGCAGTCTATGAGCAGTTATAAAACCAGTCTGTGAATAGCACATAAAAACTTTCACTTAAGGATAGGCACCTGTATCTCAGATACCCAACTGGTCTGATTGCCAAGGGAGACGTGCCACAAATACCAAGGATCCGACAACAAAGAAGAGTAACAGGTTTCAAATGTGAACTTCATTTGAACAAAAACTTCATGTGAACAAAAAGTCAAGAGCAGACACTCCAAATACCAAAGTTGATTTACCATGGATGTATTTCTTTCATGAGAAACTCTAGCGCTCCCTGGGAAACAGCAGATTTAGTGGTTAATGAGTCACCAGAGCAACCCAAAGACCCCAGCAAGTGCTTTATAAATTAACAAAAAAACATGTCATCCTTTGTGCTAGGTAAAGCTTGGCTTAGGGGGTTGCGGAATATGTTATTTTCTTCAACATTTCCTATCAACCCCTGAGAGAGAAAAGAAAAAGGAGAGAGAAGGAGAGGAAAGGGAGGAGGGTGAGGAGGATGCAGAGAGAGGAAAAGAACAGGGAAAGGAAGAGGTCAACCTTTTTTTCCCAACAGTAATTCAGAAGAGTTTAGACAGAGAAAATCCTCCTCCTATCAACATACTGAAAACAATCCATCTCCGATAGGAATTATTTCTGGGAATATTTTCACAAATATCTTACCCACTTATTCTGGTTCTCAACTTTTAATAGTTTTTCTTTCAGAATGATACATCATTTCCCACCAAATTCTATAAACCTCAATCAGTTTCTCTGCCTCCCTAATTTAGTAAAAATAAAATTGTTGGTACTGAACTACAGAAAATATTTATAAATGTAAGATGTTATTATTTAATTCTTTAAAAAAGTAAAAATTCATTTCTCTTCTATTTATTGATCCCCAAAATAAACAACAATATTATTTTGGTAAGAAATTATTTTTTAAGAGAGAATCACTCTGACTTCTAGTTAACAATGATAAGCACTTGACATACAGCTAGAATAAACCTTAGAAATTAAGTCCAATTCCATCATCTAAGATTTACAAGAGTACCTGCCAAAAGTCAAAGATTCATAATATATTCAGGAAATAAAGCAAATGCCAGCTCTCACAGAGTCCAGTAGTCTTTCTGCTATATCAAATGATTGCCATTTATATTCTACAGTGAAAGACTTCTTAAAAATCCTCTCAAATAGATAAGAATGACTCTCCTTAAAATGATTAATTACAATAGTAGAATCCTAGCCATTTAAATGCACATAACTAAAAAATATTAAGATAAATGCAATATACAAAAACAATCTATTTTAGTGAAATGATGGACAAAAATAGAAGAGCAAAATGCCACTGTTGCATTTCTAACAAGAAAGTACTATTCACAAAATATAGTTCATTTGACAAAACACAAGACCATCACAATATAACAATATTTTTCATCCTGATGACTGTAGCTAAGATGTTTTTAAAACTACAGAACACAGAAATCTTCAGCTGGACACGGTGGCTTGCACCTGTAATCCCAGCACTTTGGGAAGCTCAGGCGGGCGGATCACCTGAGGTCAGGGGTTTGAGACCAGTCTGGCCAACATGGTGAAACCCTGTCTCCTACTAAAACTACAAAAAATTAGCTGGGCGTGGTGGTGCATGTCTGTAATCCCAGCTACTTGGGAGGCTGAGGCAGGATAATCTCTTTAACCCGGGAGGCGGAGGTTACAGTGAGCCGAGATCACGCCATTGCACTCCAGTCTGGGTGACAAGAGTGAAACTCCATCTCAAAACAGGAAGAAAAAGAAAGAAAAGAAAAGAAAAGAGAAATTTTCAAAAGTAGCAATTTTTCCTTTACCAAATATTCAAAAGTTACTTTTAAGTAACTTAAATTACATATATTTAAAAAGAATAAAAATTAAAAACAAAAAAAACAAAAAAACACTTACTTAGCTTGGGAACACATGTATTTTGTCAAATTGTGAGAAACTTTCAAAATTCGCAAAAGATTCTAAAAACAAGAGAATAATAAACACTCTGACATTGGGAGTTGGAGAGTCTTACCATTGGCAGTGCATTGATGTGGGGATGTGCAACTGAATATCCGGTCACCGCCAATCACAAGTTGCTGTTGTTGATGCTGAGGAAAAGGAAAGTAAAGTATTCAATGTGCCCTAAAACAAATTCAGTTTAAAAGATTTTCCATACCAAATGTTACATGTTTGAAATATTCTTTAAAGTCCCCACCAGTGAATTTCTTTCTCCCTCAAGTAATTGTTATCATAAACAACAGCAGCAACTTTTGAGTGCTTAATACTTGGCAAGTCTTTAGAATGTTCATAAGAGGTTGGCATAGTGAATAAAATGAGACTCAAAGAGATTAACCTGCACACAAGTGGTCTCACCACAATTCAACTCAACTCGCGTAAATATTACTGTATTAAGGTCCAATTAGTATGTTCATAATCTAAAACCATGGGCCACCAAGAATGACATAAACTTGCATTCTATATTCTGTTTAATAATAAAGAAAAATATGTCATTGGTTTAGAAACAATTTCAATCAAAACTTACTAACTTTGATCTCTTTAGACTTTACGTATTTTATAGGGCTTATCCAGTTTTCTCAATTGCTAAGTCAGGGCATATTATATTCCATAAACCCTCTGTATAAATAAAAAAGTTATACTTCATGGCCGGGCGCGGTGGCTCACGCCTGTAATCCCAGCACTTTGGAAGGCTGAGGCAGGCGGATCACCTGAGGTCAGGAATTCGAGACCAGCCTGGCCAACATGGTGAAACCCTGTCTCTACTAAAAATACAAAAATCAGCCGTGCGTGGTGGCTGGCGCCTGTAATCCCAGCTACTCGGGAGGCTGAGGCAAGAGAATTGCTTGAACCCAGAAGGCGGAGGTTGCAGTGAGCCAAGACCACGCCATTGCACTCCAGCCTGGGGGACAATAGCAAGACTTCGTCTCAAAAAAAAAAAAAAGTTATACTTCACATACCATGTCAGAGCAGATGCTTAGTTGGAACACTGACCAGTACAGTTTCCGTCATGGAGTACAATTTCGTAAAGAGTAAAATCAAGCTGACACCACAGAAAGGAGTTTACTATAAAATATGGGAGGTTCAGCTCCTACACCAATTAGGTAAAGTTAAGACGATAACTAAGTAAATGATGATTATGCCACTTACACTATCCCACCAATCCCTGTGGCTTCAAAACAGGGCATAGGCGTGAGCCCCCAAGGTTTGTTGCCTAGAGGCACTTGTGAGCTACTTGATAGGTCTTTTCTAGCATGGACTGAGGAAATGTTCTTTAGACATCATGTCTAGATACCACTAGAATCTGTTTACCTCAAGGTCGTTTGTTATGAACATCGATTATTTCAAAATAAAGTTTTTGTCAATTTTTGAGCTAAAGTTACATAAGGCTGCTTGCTATCTAAAAATCAACAGGGCACTTTTGTCACAAAAATTTTTGGCATACATGCATTCAATTTATTTATAATTAACATGTACTACTTGTATTTTAAAACACATATAAGAGGTCAGGCACAGTGACTCATGCCTGTAATCCTAACACTTCAGGAGGCCGAGGCGGGCCGCTTGAACTCAGGAGTTCGAAACCAGCCTGGGCAGCATGGCAAAACCTCATCTCTACCAAATATACAAAAAATCAGGCATGGTGGCGCACAGGTCGTGGTCCCAGCTACTCGGGAGGCTGGGGCACGAGGGTTGCTTGAGCCTGGGAGGCGGAGGCTGCAGTGAGCCGAGATGGCCATGCCCCTGCATTTCAGTCTGTGTGATAGAGACTCTGTCTCAAACAAAAAAAACTCCCAATATAAGTAAAAGGCAGATAAACAATGTACTTACAGTGCTATATTTTTGTTCATAACATTCTACATCCTTAATGTCTTAATGACAGTTTTACATCATTAGCTAGTATCTTAAGGTAAAACTTAATCGTAGAGCAAAGCTCATCAATACCAATAGTGAATATTGCACTTTTTTTTTTTTTTTTTTTTTTTTGAGACAGAGTATCACTCTGTCACCCAGGCTGAAGTGCCGTGGCACAATATCAGCTCACTGCAAACTCCGCCTCCTGCGTTCAAGTGATTCTCCTGGTCTCAGCCACCCGAGTAGCTGGGACTACAGGTACAAGTCACCACACCTGGCTAATTTTGGTATTTTTAGTAGAGACGGGTTTTCACCATGTTGGCCAGACTGGTCTCGAACTCCTGACCTCAAGCGATTCACACGTCTCGGCCTCCCAAAGTGCTGGGATTACAGGGGTGAGCCACTGCGCCCCGTGGAATAATCTACATTTCAAATACCTTTCTTGATAATTGCTAATTTTTTCAGACATCTATAAAATGATTAGATAATAGCAAGTGAAGAGTTCATTCTCATAGTTTAAATATTGGCTCTGCCATTTTCTTTCTTTCTTTCTTTTTTTTTTTTGAAATGGAGTCTCGCTCTGTCCCCCAGGCTGGAGTGCAATGGCACAATTTCAGCTTACTGTAACCTTCGGCTCCCAGATTCAACCGATTCTCCTGCCTCAGCCTCCTGAGTAACTGGGACTACAGGCACGCACCACCATGGCCGGCTAATTCTGTATTTTTTAGTAGAGACAGGGTTTCTCCATGTTGGTCAGGCTGGTCTCGACCTTGGGTGATCCGCCCACCTCAGCCTCCCAAAGTGCTGGGATTACAGGCGTGAGCCACCATGCCCAGCCATGATAATGGCTAATTTTTTCATACATCTATTAAATGATTAGATCATAGTAAGTGAAGAGTTCATTCTTGTAGTTTAAGTATTGGCTCTGCCATGTTCTTGTTTCTTACAATTTTGGTTTTAGATGCAATTTTTTTCTCTACCTTTGTCTTCATTCATTCATTTAGCTTTTCCTATTAATATTACAAGTCTTTAAGAAGAAAGACCACAATAGTGATTTAATAGTTGATGACATGGTTAAAAAGTGATTCTAGGATTTGAAGGATGAATAAATACATGAAAAATGGTACACCAATTGCACATGCAATTTAATCTGGAAAATTTCTAGAAACATATGCAGGGCCATATTTTTTCTCTCTTAAGATGTTTTCCTAGTCAACTCATTGACCTATGTCCTAGTCATCATGCAATGCATTTATAAATCATGCATTTATAAAGCACATGTCGTAATTAAAATAAATATCTAAATTTTAAAAGATATAGTGATATACTTTACAAAGGAATTACAAAACTTAAGGTGCATTTAACATAATCTGACAATGTGTATTCAAACTATTTGTATTAAAGGAATTCAAGTCCAAAATAGGCGTATCCTGTCTTATCTACGTTTCTACTTTTACTCAACATTCTCAAATCTCATCACAGCAGATCACTGTGACTCTCTTATCTGCACTCTTTGGCTGCCATGACATTCCTCATTCCTCACCAGAAATGTCCTTCTGACTATGGTTCTGCTCACAATATCCCTCCTTCAAAGATCAGGCCAAATCAGCTTCCTCCATTAATTATCCACCCCACCATCCAGAGAGAGAAAAATGAGCCCCAGCCTAACATATCTCCCTTTCCACAACTGCATAGTGCCTTATTCTTTCATCATGCCTCTCTGATCAAATTTCTGGAGACCCAAGACTGATGTAATCATCTTGCTGTCTCCCAACAGAACTAAGAATAGTGCCTTGAACATACATGGTTCTTAAGATATACATGTTGATAAAATGTTAAAATATCTAGATATTGAGGAATGAATTTACACATATTTGAAAATAAAATGCAGTAGAGACTGAATTACTGCACAAATAAATCAATCACACTGGGAAGGAAAAACTCAGCAGTGGATTGTTATTTTGAAAACGCTTGAGAGAACCTGGTTATACCAATAATTTTAATACCACTTCCAGAAGGTGACCAATAAAGGTTGATCTTCTATCATTAACAAAAAACTCAAGTAGTACATGATCAATCACATTATTGGTGTAAAAACTATCACCTCCTTTGTGTACTACATAAACTGAATCTATTTACTCTACTTCTTGTAATAAAATAAATGGCTGCAGGGTTTGTGTTTGGTCTCCAAACAAAAAGCTTTGCTTCCAAAAATGTATTTCAAAGCATTTTATCTAAAGTAAATGATTAATTTTAAATAAGGCTTTTAGCATAGAAAGACACTGTTGACTTAGCAGACATCTTCTAAGATCTGCCACCTATGCATAATTAGGAAGATTTTTTTAAGATGCAAAAATTCTAGAACAGCAAATTATATATTTTGACTACTCTTCAAAAATACTACACTGCAGTGTCTAGAAGTAAATTTATTTAATTTATAGATAACTTTGAAAAGCTAATGGACATTACGGGCCCTTTTCCTAGACAAAGGTACAAACACAATAAATACTTAAGGTAGCAACATTCTAATCTAGAACCTAGTGGTCAGTAACAAGTTCAAGGAAGTATATCTGGTATCCTTTATAAAAAAAGTTTTAAAAAAATTTTTTAACGTACAGAATTTGGGAAAGTCATCCCATGAATTAAGAGAAAAATATAATCCCAGCACTTTGGAAGGCCAAGGCAGGGAAATCACTTGAGGTCAGAAGGTTTGGGTGGATCACTTGAGGTCAGAAGGTTAAGACCAGCCTGGTGAACATGGAGAAACCTCATCTTTAGGGAAAATACAAAAATTAGCCAAGTGTGGTGGCAGATGCCTGTAATTCCAGCTACTCAGGAGGCTGACGCAGGAGAATCACTTGAACCCAGAAGGCAGAGGTTGCAGTGAGCTGAGATCACACCACTGCATTCCAGCCTGGGTGATACAGCGAGACTCTGTCTCCCAAAAAAAACAAAACAAAACACACACACACACACACACACACAAAAAGGAGAAAGAAAGAAGAGAGAGAGAGAAATATATGAGAATCCTACCAGAACTGACTCTGCTTAGAAAGATTTTTATTAAATTAACTCCCAGGCAAAATCACAGAAAAAGTTCAAATTAAATTGCTTAGCACATGATTGAAGGCACAATTAAGAAAAAACAAAAACAGTACTACCTCCTAATGAAAAGATTAATACATATTTGTAAATCAGAGTTTCAACTGAATCTTCTTAATCCGTTTTACAAAAAGGA